TTTTTTCAGAAAGAGTTTAAATGATGTGATGTGACTAATACCTGTGTCTCACTCTCTTCATCTTACACATTCTTCACTTCTGGCTTCCTGTTGTGTGTGACTCGCTCAGATTTGTCAAAACAACCAGTGTTATGAAAGCTGTGCGATTAGCAAATATTTGCAAAATGTTCACAGTACAAACCAACACCCCACATGGAATTCTTTGCAACATCACTGAGTTTCATCTCCTGTTAAACAATGTGTATGACGAGAGGTCAGTGAGTCAGAGCTCCAGCTGCTTCTTACCACACAGATCTAGTTTGAATCAAAGCAGTTCATGCATGTTCCTGACATATGTAGAAGGTCTGCAGCACTTTTCAAAAACAGTTTAAAATAATAAGCAAGACATCAAGTCAATAAAAAGCAGATCAGTTATGAATAGTTGAAATAACAGCTCAGGAATGAGGAAATGCTTCCCAGTAGGAGTAAGCTTCAAGAAGGGAGTTAAAAGATCCCACTGACCCAGACAGACGCATTTTTGGGGCGGGCAAGTTGTTCCAGAGCTTCACTGCCCCGACTACACAGACCTCCTGTTAATTACAGAATTGATTTTAAACTTGTACTACTTACTTTTAATGCCCTCCATTATGGATTTATTCAGATCAGCCAATACCTGCTGTTGTTGTTTCTGTGGTAAAAATGATGGGTCGCTCACACAAATACAAACTCTATGACGTAAAACGAATGCATCACTTCTGCCCCTCACAGCTAAGGCTTGTCCAGCTCCTCCAGGCTGGAGGGAGGACGTTAGCGGGAATGGAGCCCAGCAGGAGTTTCATGTCGGTCAGTCAGTGCGAGTCACCTGCCCCAAAGGTCAGCAGGTGAAGGGCAGCGGCACCATCAGCTGCCGGCCAGACCAGACCTGGAGCCCCGTCAGCTCTGTGTGTGAAAGTATGTACCATCTTTTCAAAGGTTTCACGTTTACTCAAAGCAGGAAAGACTTGTTTGGTTCATGTCCTTTATGTTGAGTAGAATAAAAACCTGTCTGGTGTCTTCTTATGACAAATATATTTGCTTTATATGTTGATAGGTGCTAATACAGACATAAATATATACAAGTATATAAATATTTCTGAGGTAATTCTAACAGCACATTTTATTCTACCTCCAGATTGACCTCCTCCCTAATTCATGTTGATCTGGCTATTTGTGAATCAACTTTATTTTTCAGTAATGAATTATCCGTTACCTATTATTGATGTAGTCTTTGTAGATTTTTATGATCATTGCTATATATGTGTTTGAGTCAAAGATCGAGGGGTGTCAGATGTTTTTTCCAGACAATGTGATTTTGTTGTATATTGAGAAAATCAAAAATCCTATTTCAGTGCTCTACATTGCAAATTACGTCTTAATCCATGAGATAATCCAGTAAATGACTGTATTTGGTGTTTCCCTCCTCTGCATGCTCTGCTCGTCTCGTGCTGCTCGTCCTGTGCTCTTGCATGTTGGATTAAATCTTTCCCCGTTTGTGTCTCTGTTGTCGTCTGTCTCTCTCGGGGCTTTCATCAAATCAAATGAGGCTGCATCAAACGCAGTGTTGGTCGTCCTGTACGCTGCACTAATTATGGGCACCTCTGTAGCTTCTATGGCAACCTTTGTCAGATGATCCTCAGATCTGTCTTGTGCGCGATCGTCCTGAATATACAACACAATGGTACCTATGTTGCTATGGCTTGTTGTTTGTATTGGCATGGAGTGTATTCTCCCACATGCATGACTAACCACAATACTTTGAGTCCTGTTTCGGTCACAGACGATCTGTGTCACATTCGCATGAGATTCTCTGTCTGTCTTCAGGGGAGATGAAGGATCAAGAAAGCACTTGATTTCATTTAACTAACACATTTTTCTCTCTCTGCGGTGTACAATGGCATACTTCGAGTTCATAACAGGGGGTAGACAAAATAGCAGAAAAACCTGAAATACAATTCTAATCAAATTAGTTCTGCAGCCTCTGACATGTCCTTCTCAAAGAGACGCTAAAACCAAGTGTTTCAGACAGAGGCTGAAAAGAGGAGCTGCAGTGATGGACAGTGTGAGGAAAATGATGTGTGTTGTGAACAACAGAGTATGAAAACCTTGAAGGTAATAACCCAAATTGAGTGTGAGCAGAATATGTCTCACATCCTCCTCCTGTATCATGTGGTTAGGATGCAGTTATATGAAAAAACCTCACAGGCGAAACTGTTGTAGGGAAGAGAAACAAACCAGTGGCCTCAACATCCAGCAAGGTTGAATTAAGTCTCCTAACGATGTGAGAAATGTAATGAACTGCCATGGTGCAGTAGATGTCTCTCTTACTTTGTCCACCCCCTGTAGACTCGGCTGATGAGGACAGCAGCCGCATTTAAAGACAGACAATAGTAGTGTAGTGAGTAACCCGTGTGTTGTACAGGGGTGTCCTGTGGCCCGCCCCTCCATGTGGCCAATGGGGTGGTGCGGGGGGCGGTGTTCCAGTTCGGGGACGTGGCGGTGTACTCGTGTTTTGGCGGCTACGTCATGGAGGGCGTCGGAAGGAGCAGGTGTCTGGAGAACGGCACCTGGACGCCGCCTCCAACGTGCAGAGGTAGAGAGAACACTGAGGGGACCCTGCCCTTTTTCCCAGGACACTTCCGCTTCAGCCGACTCTCCCTTTCTCACATGACGTCATGCTGCTGCTCAACTATGATATTCTTTCCTAGACTCTTCCTGCTTGTCTCCAGTAGATGCTTTGTTCTGTGGAGAATGTGAACTTTTCTGCGGTCAAACAGCTTCATCACAGAACCTCTTCCCTACTGCTGCACCGTGACGATGCCTCTTTTTGTGCACTTTAGCTCTGTGACTCACATGAGTACTTTCTCTAGCCTGGATCCAGTTCCATTAAAGACTAATTCACTCTTAGTCCAAGACGAGCAACGGGCACAGCTGACTCTGAAGCTGCTCGTCCGGATAAAGTCGATACACACTCACATGTTTTGCATATGAAAACGAGGGCTGTATCCAGACTAGCCTTTCCTCAACAGCTGCTGAGAAAAACACACTCACGCACACTTAGGAGGTTTCTATTTGTGCAGCCGAGTGTAATCTACAGTGTGTGAATGCTGCCTTTGTTCTCGAGCATGAGGTTGTTAAAATGAACCAAACGAAGTTCAGTCTGTTTAGACGATTGATGATGAGAAGCATCTCTTCACATGTAGGAATCTAAGTTGTGTATTTGTATGTTTCAAGAAACATTCCTGTTGTTTTAATCCAAATTTGTGTGTGTGTGTGTGTGTGTGTGTGTGTGTGTGTGTGTGTGTGTGTGTGTGTGTGTGTGTCCCTCAGCTGTGTGCTGGCTGCAGTGTCAGAACGGAGGTGTGTGTCAGCGGCCCAACGTCTGCTCCTGCCCCGAGGGCTGGATGGGCCGACTCTGTGAGGAGCGTGAGTATCTAATCATTATCAATATCTTTCAGTAATGTCTGTTGACAAAGTACAAGTTAACACACTGAACTCACACACACACACACAGACAGACAGTAACCCAACCAGCTTGCTAAGCAGGATTTAGCAGACAATGGTGCACAAAGAGGGTCAAACATAATGGAGACAAACACTGTTTTCAGCTGAGGAATTGACTTTTTTGTCCATGTTTATGCTCAGTCATCACAAAAGTTAAAGAAGCAAAAATTCAATAATCACTAAAGATCACACAAGATTGGAAACTGCTGATACACTGATTGAAAGGTCGTCACCGACAGTGGCCTCAGAAAGTAAATCAATCATTGTATAGACTCTATTATTGATAATATGTATACGTCCATTGTGCATTGCTGAACTTTTGCTCGGGCTTTAAACTGCAAACAGAGAGAGAGCTGTGTTCATGCAGCCCCTCGATGACGACCTGAGACGACTTCTAGTTTCCACTCACCTCCCCTCTTCCCTCTCTGATATCAGCTATCTGCATCCTGCCGTGCCTGAACGGAGGCCGCTGTGTGGCACCATACCAGTGCGAGTGTCCCTCTGGGTGGACGGGCACGCGTTGTCACAGTGGTGAGTTCACAATGGTGCTCTCACATGTTTAGGCTGGTTCGTGTGTGAGTAAACCTCTGCACCTACTGTGCACGTCGTGTAATCCCACAGGATTCCCTGTGGGGGGGGGGGCTGTGACGCCATAACTGTAGCTAGAGAATAGAAACATAAAAAGCACACATCTAAAATAATATGGTCTGTAGCTTGTGATAAGTACAAAAACACTTTCAAAGAAAACACATCAACCAGTGATACTGGAAAA